ACTCAGCTTAGGCCTTGAACATTACAAAAAAAAAAAAAAAACCCAAACCACCAACAAACCCAAACAACAAAACCAAACACTAACATTCTTCCCTGTATAATTTTTTTCCCACATCTAAAATAGCAATATTTTAAATGAAGTCACTGCAAAATGTCAAATGCCTCCACCTTCTTCCACCACAAACCCACCAAGGTGGGGGGACACAACTAAAAACAAACTGAAGACAATGTGGAATTTGTCTCTATGGAAAAGAATTTGGCCTAAAGTTCAGCAGCAGCCAAACAGACAAATATCTTATCAGGAATTCTTAGAAAAGCAACAAAGGAATAAAAACAGTACCTCTGTACACAGCAGTTTGAGTACAGTGTAGAGGACTGATTATTATCTCAAGAAGGTGAGAGTATCTATAAAAATAGCACAGGGAAGGAACTTCTGTTCATAAAACATGCTTTCTCAAAATTATGTTCTCAAAGTACACGGTCAGGTATTTCAAATTCTTTCCCATGAAACTTAATCAGTTCAATCTCACATGCATTAAAACAAACCCTCCACACAGTTTTTCAAAAGAGCTGTACTAATCTCATCACAAAAACTTACCTGATGGTGAAAGCTTTAGACTTGTCAACAAGATCAGGTTTTCACTACACATGTCTGTGCCTGCCTGTGCAGGGGACACATGTATGCGTGATGTGTATGTGTGATGGGTTGGTATATAACTGTGAAGATACACACAGTTTAAGATTTTGTAACTATAAAGAATAACGCTTTGCTTTATAAATCAAAATAATCCAGCAGCAGCTGAGTCACTAAACTTTTAGCTCAAACTGGAAAGCTAGGGAAGACTCTGGACATAAGGATATAGGCCACTAACTTATCATTTGACAAATGTCATTCATTATACTTTTATAGCTATATGAACAGTTGTCTGGGTAGACAACTGAACTTGAAATGAGAGTAGCAATAAATGCAAAAAGCAGCAAGAATTTAACTAACACAGCTGTAGAAGTTTTTCTGGTGAGCTTCTGGACTTAAGTGGTACTTCAGAGTCACACAAAAGAGCTAATTTTAACAAATGAAATTCCATTGCTTATCTCCATAAAAGTTTTTAAAGCTTAACAGCAGTTGCCATTTTAACAATGATCTTAAACGAAACCTGTAGGATGTATGAAATGTGAATGTATAGGTTCAGTATTGACTGAACTGAAGCTATCATCAAATGCCAACAAAGTTTAAATGTTTAGTCAAGTTTTGTACAATGTATCTGTCTATCTGCCTATGACTTCTCCCCATCTGTTTTTTTTTTGGCGCTTAAGCTGAAAGTCAGAATAACCAAAATCAGTACCCAAAATCTGCGTCCCTAAAAGGAATAAGTACTAACTCTTGGACTGATAACAAATGCTACCTGCAAGATTTGCCTCTGTGCTGCCACAACAGAATAGGAACAGTTCCTACACAGTTCCCATCCCACTTTCAGTACTGATTCTATAGCACTCATTTTTGTAACAGAAATATAACTGTAGTATGGTCTTACTGGATTCCTGTATTTCCCCATCTATTTGGATGACTCACACTTCAGCTGTAAGCTTCTCATGAAAACACCTGCCTTGTTTTTTTTCATTTTTATGGTGCTCTGACATTGAGCCAGTACATGGAAGCCTTAGGCTGAATACAAATGCTAGCAGGTAAACACACTGTTGGTAAGTTTATATAGTTACAGTTTCACATGAACTGAGATAAGATACAGGTCAAAATATGTTTATAAAAACCAGAAAGCCTTTTACCCCTGCATATCCCCACTGTTTATTATTTCAGGTAACAATTAACAAAAAAAGTTTTACTTGAAAAAAATAATATCCACAGGTCATGTAATTAAAAGACTAAAATAAAATTTAAGCCTTTTTTGCATTCAGAAGTTACTTCATGCAGGCAGCCACCATGGACATTCTATACCTAAAATAATAAAAAATATTTAAAACTGTAAATCACATAACAGTGCATTGGTAAGTGCAGGAAAAAGACCTGCTCATAGGAAGATTGTTTTAAAATCTCAAGAACTCTTTGGTAGGTGGTCCCAAGACCTTAAACCACCCGGTAAGCACAAGTATGTGATCTGCAACTCCACTTCGGGCCACAAGATAGAGCCATTACCACAATCTCTGCAACCCAGCAAGCCTGGTCTGTGCAGGAGCCCCAAAGCAAGAATGGGACTCCAGCTTTCGTCACCTAAGAGGAATGAAACCCCTGCTATAAAAATCCAGTACTGGTATATATCCTTGAAAATAAAATAATAAACCCAAGATTTAAATCTGCAAGTTAAAAAAGACAGTATGAGATTTAACAGTTTTATTCTGTCTTCATGTGTTTACCACGCAGTAAGCAAGCCTGAAACTTAGTCTTTTGAGGTCTATACAGCTTTTTCACAAAGAAGTATCTCTTCATGCTTGCCCTACCCTTCTATTTCTCCTCAGGCACCTGCTCCCTGCACAGCACTGAGGCAAACATTAGAAACTGCAGCTGCCTTAAGTTGAGGTGCAAGGCTTGATTTGTTCAGTTTCCAATCTGTACTCACAGTGCTGTGCTATCTGAATGCTTTTAATGACAAAACCAAGCTATTCTCTCTTATGTTTTTCTTTACGCTTCTTCTTATGCTTTGTCACTATTATACATACTGTCCAAGACCAAATAAAGTCACCAATTAGATATTACATGTCACAAATAAACCTTAATGTCCATCCTGCAAGTAAGGAGTGGACAGTACACATACCTTATCTCTCCTTCTAACTTTTAAATATGTTGCTTTGCTGCTGTTTTCCATAACTGCCTGATGAGGGCAAATTTTCAGGATGCTGTAAGGTGTACAAATAACTACAAGATGAAAATGTGTTTGTTATGAGTAAAGAAAACTAGCAATGCTAGTTCTGTATTCACTTCATGTTTGAAATACAAAATTTAATGAAAAAAGACTATATACTGAGTTATATAATTTTTGCAATTCATGTCATAGACATGATTTCTTTAAAATTAAACACTCAGAGATGACTGAGAAATGTCTTCTCTTCAGTGCACACACTACCTCACACAGGAAGAAAGGCCAAGCCAAACACAGCTGAAAGTCCAATACCCATTTATAAAGAACAACATTTAACTTTGCAGACTCACATCTGATCGGCTTCTAGAAGAGCTGAAACCACTCAAAATATTTCAGCTTCCTACCTTCAGCAGCCCTGCAGCTTACAGTCAAACTAACACTGCCTTCTTCCTCTTCCCTCTTTGAACTCATATCTGAATAATTTCATTATATAGTTTCTATCAAATTCCTATTTGACTGGAGAAGAACCCAAAAAGATTCTCAAATCCTCACACAAACTTAGAAAAATGTTAACACTTAGAAACTGGAATTATGTTGGGAATTTAGTAATTACAACACAATTTTCTACACAGCTGAAGTTTTTCCAAGTATAGCTGCTGTTTTCTTTCAGTACTTTGCTCCAGTCCTTCACTTCCTTTCCTTGATCTTCTGCTGAATGCCGTTCTTGGGTTTTAGGCTGTTGGGTTTTTGTTTTTCCTCTCCATTACTACAATCTGCTCCTTCCTCTTTCTCATGCTGTTTTAGCTCCTTCGCTCTGAGAACAAATTTATGTTCTTTTGATCACACAGCTTCTAGTGCTCTGGTGTGTTTCTTCCACATGCTTATTTCTCCTCCTCCACAGCCTGTCCAGTTCTGAACTCTCCCATTGCCTATCGCCTAGGAATACAGAGTACCAATTCCTCCAGCTGCATACACAGAGAAACAGGCCAGCAACAAGTATATGCTGACAGCAAATTCTCTCACATCTGAGTAGTTACACAGCATTCACTACTGGTCCAAAACCTGCTCTCTCAGAAGCTGCTGTTTATCCAGCAGGGCCACGTGCACTTCCTACAGGGGAACGGCGTGAAATTGTCTCAAGATTTTGATGCTAGTCTTTTTATCCTAACATTCCTCAAACTTTACAAAATTGCAACCGTCTTCTAACTAATACATTTTTGTGCAACTCCTCAACTTGGCAGAAGCACAAAGGAGTGACAGTCAGCTGGATTTCCTGGCTGGAGGTATCAACATTGACTCCTCTCTCCTGAAGGAATAAACCGCTGCCAGCAACCCGAGGAAATTCACAGCTCTCCAGTGAATATTGCCACCAGTTACTTTTTCTACCTACCCTGGAGAAACCAAGCTGCTGCCAATTAACAGAGCATT